TTTTTTCTATAATATGACACTGACCTTATTTTACACCTTCGCCGAAAACTCTTCATAGATTTTCAAAGCTAACGGCCAAGAGTTTAACAATTATCTCAGTAATCTGCTTAAAAAGTGAATAAATAAAGCTGGATGAAGGTTTTTGCTTTTTGAAATTTTAACAGAATGGTTCAACATGCACCGAAGGTCGTCAAATGGTGTTTCATCCGGGAGATCTTAAATGTGACACTACCAAGTTATAAAATGTAACTATTGACAAAACATAAATATAAATATGTGTAATTGTAAATACGGCATTAACCAAAGAATGTAGTAACTAAACTTTTAAATAACCGGTAAAGGGAAGGCAGGTCCTCCGTAAACATAAAAACGTTGTTTTATAAATAACTGAGCACTATCATTGAGCTAAATGATTCGAGAAGTTTTAGCTGTTAATGGAAGGACCAAAGTTTCCTTTTCAAACGATTCGTATCTCAATAATTAGAGTATAAACATCGTCAGTGAATAAATCAGTGGTGCCCACTCCTTTCCTGTTTAAGCTGCTAAGCGAGTCACATGACAATTATGTTCTGCTTGCTAGTGTGACTTATTAACATGCATTAGAGAAATTTACTGAAGCCTAAGTGTCAAGCTGAAAAAAGCCGACTTGTTTCGACTTTATAAGAAATCCTTGCTTTTGAAGTAAAGACTGCGTAGCTATCCAACACCGAGCGGTACGGGTAACTTGTTTTGCCATATTTTAATCGATACAGGAAGCTCAAGAGGTTATAATTCACATACCAGCAGAGGAAGACAACAGTTCATTGGAAGAGAATGACAGCATCTCTCACGGTGTTTCTAGCTTCATAAATTTTGGTTACGCTGCTGCCATGGCGGCCATGAACGACAGAGATTCAGATGAACTTGATGACATAGATCACGAGGCGTTCTTTCCTCCTCCCCCCAGGGGACCTCCTCCGCCACCGCCGGACTCTGACGAGGACGACAAGGACGACGAGGACGACGACGAGGACGACAATGAGGACGACAATAATTCACCTGTTGTCTTCCGCCGAAGTGATTACGAAAAAGGTAGAGATAGTCCGGGGCTCCAGCCTGCAGATTACGATGGTGATGTTGATGGCATGGTACTAAGTAACTCTCCTTCAGATTCCACATCAGACAGCACAGATCAGTTAGTAATAGGTTCTCCAAAAGTTTCATTACCTAATGGTTTGTTCTTGAAGCGATTTTCTTTGACCGAAGACACTACTGAGCTTTAAACAAGATCGACAACCACATAATCCACTGACAGTTAGATACGGCCTTTATAGACTTTGACGCCGCTCCCTATTTAGTAAATATGATCGGTACAGATACTGCAGATACAAAAGTCCAATAATAGGTACGCTTCGTAAGGTTTAGGGCTGGCAGATCCGTATTTAATGTTATGTCAATCTCGGACGGAAGAACAGAAGGAGGTCCTCATACCGTGAGATAAACGACCAAGTCAACTCACTGCAGCAAAATGTTTCAGAAATCAGAAATCAACCAGCCTCTTAGTTACTGATGGCAGAGTAAACAAAACTCTCTAAAATAGGTATTTATTAGCAATGGTACGACTGTCAAAAGTGAAACGTACGCAATATGTTTAAATATGTTTTACTTTATCGATTATTTTAACTCGCCAGCGCAGTAATCTTGCTTGTAATCTTATAGATGGGTAACAAATTTAGCAACAAATATACAGCCAACGAGCATCTCATGTACCAGAGTCAGCCGCCATCTTGAATAAGGATGTATGCCAACGGTGTTTCACTTAGTATTTCAAAAGGGTCCTTCTCATCTCCTTTCGTAACAATTCAGACGAGAAGCTTATATTAACATCGTACCATACTACTTCTGGCTTGAAAACATCGCCTTTGCCGATGGACTTCTGAATTTGAAGGTTATAATTGCAAATAGTTTTGTTAAACAGAACGTATAAAAGTTGTCAAAATTTTTCTTAGAATTCTAAGAAGTGTCCTTTCAAGCATTTTTGTTGTTTTTTTGTTCTGCTCAGACGTCGACAGTGTCAAAGTTAAGTTTGTCTATTAATTCAAATTCACGGTTCTCGAAGACTGAGATTAGGGTGCCCCCTAAAGAAAGAGTTTACTCTTTTCGAACAATTTTATTAGTTCATCCTGTGGAACTGTTAGATATCACATATTTTATATTTTTGAAAAGGTTGTAAGACAAAGAAATGACTATTTTTGCGAATGTAAATATGAATTACGTACTCTGATGCTGTTTGTAATAGCATCTTGAAGAAGAGAGTTTTGAATGTCTCAGTTTTTACTTTTAGTTTATTCAGTCCACACTCAAAGTGCAATTTTCAGTTTCAGTCCACAAAATTAATAAAAGAACACAAACAATAAAACCAAGCCATAGACTTGTTTGAGTAACTCTATTTCTGTAAACTAAATAAAAAAAAAAACTGCTGCAACGAACGATTCGTTTGACGTCCCTTTCAACAGTGTACTGTGTCTGTTACAAACTGAGGCCTGGTGTAAAAGGTGAGTTTTGCTCACAAATTCACTTTCAAGTTCAACATAAGCAAAATCATTCCAAGTTGAAGTAATTTTACACCAGACGTCATTTTGATTAAACCATTCACACATACAACATGGTGAACGGTGATGACTAGTTGAGAGATTAAAACCCAAGTTCTCTTTTTTCATACTTAACGAATTAGGTCATGGGGGTCTCAGGGGATTTATAGTAAAAAAAACAAAAACAAAACAAAAAACAGACAAACCATAGCAAAAACAAAAACAGGCAAGGAGAATGAAGTTATGCTGAACGCGTCATAGCCACGTGACGTATGGAGGGCGAGGGAAGAGGTGGAAAAGTATGGGGGAGGAGGGAGGGAAAGATCAAGGGAAATTTCTGGAAGGATCACGCCGTCATGTCTATTCTTGTCAGTTGATTTTCAGAGAACTCGACAACACGAGGGCGAAATCATTTCTTTTCCCAAGTAACATACTCGCCCTGCCTCAAGCTAATTCTGTTCTTTGGATACATGCTCTTCGAGACGGCCAATAACTTAAGTTTGAGTTTCCCGGATGTCACAGTCACCATGTATTTAACGCGCTCATTGAGATTCCTCGCTTGAACTGTTCCGCTTCCAAAAGGAGTGAAAAACGGAAGAGCATATGGGACTTTTAATTTCGGCTCAAACGTCAATTTCTGTTCGACCGCGCTATACAGCTGACCAGAGAGAGCCAGCGGTATATGCCACAGAACCATGTGGAAACTGTAATGCGACGTGCACCAGGGCTGACCGTCCACGCCATAACCTTGGCCAGCGGTCAAACCGTGAATATTCCAGAAGTCGTTTAGTTTTGTTCTGTAATGTTCTAAGGCTTTCTCAGCTTGTTTGAGTGCTTTTGCAGGATTCATTCCCAAATGAATGTTCATAGTTGTCCAATCTGCATCGCTTCCCATCCAAATCGAGTTGAACTTGCTCTCTTCTTCGAGAGAAAAACAATTTTTGTGATTAAGAGTTTCTTGAGTTACAGGTCGCATTGAAGTTATTTTGTTTGGTTGCTTCGATTTTCCAAGTGCATTACCCTTTTTTGCCGTAGTATTGTCTTTTCTGATCTTTATTTTCATTTCCACTTTCTTCACCAGATGTTTATCTGAAGATACTTGACGTGGAACTTTGTTACTTGTTTCAGTGTTGGTTTTTGGATTTTTCTTCACAGCTAACTTTGGAGAGTCTTTATTCTTGTTAACATGGGACTTCTTTTGTAGTCCGGAAACTTCGCTAAAGAAGCTGTCCAGATGCGCTACAGCCTCTTCTCTGGGTATTTTTCTTTTCTGTCTTGTTATTTTGTTCTTGCTAGTTGTGTTTGTTTTCTTTCTCAGTTTGTTTGCAGGAATACCCTGAGTGAGCACGCGCAATCCATAAGGCGTGTCATTCAATTCTCGTTCCTTTTGCAGATGTCTTTTCATCTTATCAGGATCAAGGAGACTTCCAAGACCCAAAGCATAGGCCCAAACCTAAATAAGGAAAAAAAAAAAGAAACTCTAGAAAATAACAACTTAACGTGTAGAGTATATCATAAACTTGAAGTAGAAGTAGTATAATTTAAACCGCTGTGTGATTGAGCTTTCCAAAGACATTTCAGGAACTAACAAAGTTCTCATGCAGCCATGACTACAAATATATAATATAAAGAAAATCGAGTAGAGCTCCCATAGATCCTATAAAGGCAGTGTGCTACTCACTTGTCCATACAAGGAGTCCGTCATTAGCCAATTAGGTGAGCCTTTCTCGTGATCCCACCAAGAGTGATAAAATCCGTCATTCTCATTCCATAAAGTTTTGTCCATTTTAGCCTTTCCGTACTTGAACGCTTGGCGAACCGTCTGAACTAATTCTGTTTCTCCTAGCGCCTCAGCAAGAACTTGTCCAGCTCGCAAACCCAGAAGATACATCACACTGTTATAGGTGGTGTGGTCGTAACCCTCGAGGTAAATGATGTCATAGGTGCAGGTTTGATGTAACGGAAGACCCGAGCCTTCTGTACTGATATGCATCAGCCAAATCAATGCTTTGCGGGCCGCTGGCCAGAGGTCTCGCAGGAGTTTTTGGTTGCCAGTCCATAGGTAAAGATGATAAAACTGCAAAAAGTAAAATCATGTTTTTGAAGCATGGTGGTCTGGGTTTGAATCTCGTCCTCAGAGGTGCCTTAAGCCGGTGACTCCTTTGTGAGTGCATTTTCACTAATTCAAGGCTGGTGTCCCAGAAAGATCACTGGTTGATTTCTAATTATTACCTTTTGGCGAATGAAAGAATCTACAGGCTTTAACAGCTTTTAATATAGAGAATTTAAAACACAGTAAAATTCTGACCTAAACTTAACGTTAAGGAAGACTAAACTAAA